TAGTTCCAGCTGTCCTAATTTACAATGTCATAAAGCCTTTAATTTACACTTAAATTATGTTTACTTTTAAGAGCTGGCCGAAACTGTTCCAAGTCTTAAAGTTAATAATTAGTGTTAAATGAAAGTACAAGTAATTCAACTATTATTAATTTAATTACCTAAGGGCCTTCCTTCTTTCTTCTTGCCTAATGTTTGTAAATAAAACTAACCAAAATACAATGCAAAGTTACTTTTTAATACAATGGTTGTTCTTACATCTGCTTGACAGCAAAAATTATTAGATTGCAATCATAAAAGAAAACTTACTTAGGCCATTTGATTCTATTAAAAACAATGTCATTTTCAATGTCAATTTTACTCAATCTTACCATTCTCTTTTGTACTGTCTCCTCTCTCCTCTTTGTCTCTGTCCTTTTTGTCTCTTTCCCCTTTCTCCTCTGTCCTCTCTCCTCTGTCTCCTTTCTTCTCTTTCTCCCTGACTTCTTTTTCTGCTATAAATACAGTTATTTTTTGCTTTTTAATGTACAACACAAACATATAAACAACTTACCAAGTTCATCTACCAATAAAAGGCATTATAGTAGGGTTACACATTCCCAACTTACCATCAGATGGATGGACCTCAATGAGGACATCCTCTATTGGGGCAGCCAATACTTTTTGATTTTGAACTTACGGTTTCAGGTGTCTTATTTTATATCCTAAAGGTCACAGTTGACACTTGGTGTTCTTTGATTGGCTGTGAATGACGCAATGACTTCTATTTCGGTATTCTTCTCCCGCACATTTTTATCATCAGTCCTCTCACCTGTAAAGATAAACACAAATCACCTGCATGATAACTTCGAGACTAACTTTCTCTCAGCCGAGACTAACTTTCTCTCAGCCTTCCCTTTTGAGTTAGTAAGTTTTAAACAAAAATGAGTGTTTGTGTTTATGTTGACGTCTCACGCACATACTAGTTCCACACCTTTGTTTTCAAAAAAGGGGATCCATAGTTTGTATGTCTTAGCGTTACAAACGAGTTCCTCTCCTCAATAGTTTGAATATTTGGCATTCAAACTAGTTCCACTCCTGTTTCAGGGGAACAATAGTTTGAATGTTAGGCATTCAAACTAGTTCCACTCCTGTTTCAGGGGATCAATAGTCTGTTTGTTGTAGACAAACTAGTTCCTCTCCTGTTGAAAGGGGATCAATAGTATGTGCATTACACAAACTCATTTCTGTTATTCATTTACTGATTACATGGACAAGTTCTTCTATTATGACCAAATTGACCACAATTACCACAATTTCTTTGTGTTGCAGGTGGTTCTAGAGATTGCCTTGGAGAATGTGGTACTTCAATCTCCATTGCAAGGTCTGGTGGATTATCTACACCT